TCCACCTTATGTATTGAGGCAAAGTCTATTGCTGAACCTGGAGCTTGCCTTTTCAGCTAGTATACCTAATCAGCTTGCTCTGGAAGCGTCTTTGCCTCTGTTGCTTCTACCCATTGGGATTGCAGGTCAGCTGCCATATCTACTGTTCTAGTTAGTGTTTTATTGCTGTAAAGAGACACCATGACCACAGCAACTCTTAGAAACGAAAACATTTAATTGAGGCTGGCTTACAGTTTCAGAGGTTTAGTCCATTATGCAGGCATACATGGTACTGGAGAGGTAGCTAAGAATTCTACATCCAAATTGGCAGGCAGCAGGAAGAGAGGGTGACACACTTCCTCCAACAAGGTTTCACCTGCTCCAACAAGCCATTGCCTCCTAATGGTGTCATTTACATGGGCCTACAGGAATCATTTTCACTCATTTCTCCACATTCCACTCCCTGCCCACCCACAGGCTGGGCATTAACCATATCAAAATGTGGAAATGCAGTCAGTCCAACTTCACAAGTCCTCTTAGTCTATCAGTCTCAACCCTGTTTAAAAGTACCAAGGCTTTTTTGGGACTCATGGCAATCTCTTAACTATAAACCCTCATTAAAAAAAAAATAAAACAGGACATATACTTCTTATAAAAGGGAGAAAAAGGGGCATAGTGAGGAAATACTGGACTGAAAAAAAGCTGAAAACAAGTAGGGCAAACTCCAAACTCTGCATCTCCATATCTGATGTCAAAGTAGTCTTCAGATCTCCAACTACAACACACTTCTCTTTCTTGGGATGTTCCATTCCCTGTTATCAGCTTTCCTTGGCAGGTATCCCATGGCTCTGGCATCTCCAGCATCTTGGGGTTTTTCAAGGCAATCCAAGCTTCACCTTTACAGACTCACATAATGGCTCCACTGGGCTTCCATACAGGGACATCCCTGATACACACTTCTGGCCTTATTAGTTTTCCATAGTCTCAGAGGGAGATCCCATAACCTCTTTCTTCTGTCCTTGACTCTAAAGCCAGAACCACATGGGTGAAGCTGTCAAGTACTGCTGCTTTCTGGAACACAGCCTCACTCAATCAAATACATTTTCACTAGCTTTCTGTTCTTGATAGTTTCCTTCACTATCTAAGCTTGGCTGTCCTGGAACTTGGTCTGTAGACCAGGCTGGCCTCAAACTCAGAGATTTGTCTGTCTTTGCCTCTGGAGTGCTAGGATTGAAGGCATGCATCACCATGCCCAGCTCTCAACTTTATTTAATTTCACAAGTTGAAGCTTAGCTGGGTGAGGTCTTGCTCTGAGGCCAACCTTTATTCCCATTAGCATCAGGGTTTGATTGTTTATACTTCCTGATACCCCTTTTACTCACAAGCTGTACATTTGTTTTTCCTTGCTTAGTTTTTTCCTTACTAGTGGCACAAGACTGGCCACTAGTAAACACAGGACATAGTCAACACTAGGCTGTCTAGAAATCTCCTCTGCCAAATCTGTTAATCTTCAATTTAGCCTCAGGCAGATTTTTTTTTGGACAAGGGCAGAAAGCAGCCACATTTTTTCCCCCCAAAATAATACAAGAACAGCCTCTAGGCCAAATACAAATATTCTCTTCTAAAACCTCTGAGCCAGGCCCACATAGCTCAAGTCACTCTCAGCACCACTGTCATCCCTTTCAATACCATTTAAACCATTCAACGGCTTTTCCCTAGGTCCACATTCCTCTGAACAAAAGAATGACCAGGCCTATCATAGCAATAACTCACTCTTGGAACTCACTTCTGTCTTAGGGTTTTATTGCTGTGAAGAACCACCATGACTACAGCAACTCTAATAAAGGGAATCATTCAATTGGGGCTGGCTTACACTTCAGAGGTTTAGTTCATAGTGGTCTTGGCGCATTACCCGGATATACTCAGGCAGACATGGTCCTGAAGAGGTAGCTGAGAGGTTTAAGTTCAGGTCAGGAGGCAGTAGGAAGAGAGCAACACTGGGCCTGGCTTGAACTTTTGAGAAGTCAAAGCCTATCCCTAATTGCACATTTTCTCTATCAAAGCCACATCTCCTAATGGTGGCACTCCCTATCAACCTATGAGGGCCATTTTCATTCAAGACACCACACCCACTGAGATTTTATATAGGTTTAGAGTATTTTAATTAGGATTCTTACTCTTGTACAACAAGTACTTTTCCAGCTGAACCTCCCAAGCCCATTAATTTACACTTACTTATTTGCTTTGTTTTTCCAAGACAGAGTTTCTCTGTGTAATAGCTCTGGCTGTCCTGGAACTCACTTTATAGGTTAGGCTGGCATCAAACTCACAGAGATCCACCTGCCTCTACTTCCCAAGTGCTAGGATCAAAGGCATGGGCCACCACTGCCCAGCAAGTTTTATGTTTTATAATAGAGTTTTGTGCCTTTTATGGACTATGTAAGGGAAATGGATTCTGCATAAACAATAGTGCAATTAAAGTGAGGCATGTGTTTCTTGTATTTCTTTAAGATACAGGTGACACAATGTTTAAATTCAATGAGAGCCCTTGATATAATTGTCAGAGATTGAGTAAGCCCATGCTATACTGATAATTGGTTCAAAATTAAATAAAAATCAAATTACATTTTCCTCTTGTCTTCTTTCCTATGCTTTTTCCTTGAGATAAGCTTTCTTTTTACACTTAAGATTACAGGTGCCAGGGCCTCTTTTTTTATTTTTAAATTGAGACAGAGCCTCGTTATATGGTCCATGAACTTACCATATTGACCAGTCTGGCATCAAATTTGCAGTTCTCTTGCTTTTGCCTCCCACAAACTTGGATTACAAGAGTGAGCTATCATGCCTGGCTCCCTGCTGTTTTAAAATCACCAAGTAATCTAATTCAAGAGCATTGTGTTATAAAACTTACATTTTCTCTATTAGACTTTAAAATTTAATCCAGTCTGATATTTTGGGAATTAAACATAATTGGAGGGCTAGTGGGATGGGTCAGTGGGTATTTGCTGCTTGTTCAAATGACTTGAATTTCATTCCCAGGAATAAATGTAATGAGAAACAATAGAAAGAACAGAATGAGAGGGCAGAAATGCTAATTGATAAGTTCAGTGTAGTTGGAAGCATAAGTGTGTGTGTGTGTGTGTGTGTGTGTGTGTGTGTGTGTGTAGGTGTGTGTAGGTGTGTAGGTACATGCACACCATAGTATAAGGGTAGGTTAGAAAACAACTTTCTGAAGTCTGGTCTCCTATAATGTGGGTGTTGGGTTTCCAAACACTGGGCATCAAGTTTTAGAGCAAGTACCTTTATCTACTGAGGTGTTTCATTGCCCTCACTGTTTATTTTTATTTTGAAAACAACTGCAAATAGGAGTACAATTTTTACCTCCGACTGAATTTTAATTTCTTTACCTTTTCTGTCCTCAAGCTGAAATTTGTTTTTTGTCTGTAAAATTTCAGAACAGGAAAATGCTTTAAAAAACCCCAAACATTTAATATATCAACAAGATTTCTGAGAGGACATATTTCCTGAGACATAGAAATGGTAAGTTAACAAAGGATCCCTTTCTTTCTGTCTGTTGTCATTGAGCTACACTGTCAGCTCCCAATGTTCCTTTCTTTTTAATTTTTCCTTTTGCTTTTTCTAGGGTTTCACTATGTAGCTCTAGCTAGTCTGGAACTTGCTATGTAGAGAAGATTAGCTTTGAACTCACAGATCTCCGTCTCTGCCTCCCAAGTGCTGTAAAGATGTGAACCACTAGGATATATATATCTCAAGAAAGGGTTTCTCTGTATAGCCCTGGCTGTCCTGGAACTTGCTCTGTAGATGAAGCTGGCTTCAAACTTAGAGATCTTCCTGCTTCTGCCTCCTGATGGCTATGATTAAAGATATGAACCACTAGGATACTTTTTATTTTGTACATTCACAGAAAACTAAGAATTCCAGTGTAGAAAATTGAGACAGAGAAAGTCACTTGAAAAATGAAATTCATACAAGATGGAGTGATGTTTCTGAAGACAGACTGTAACAGAGGTTATCTAAACATAGCATTGATTTTTTTATTAGTATCTTTCCCCACAACTCATCAGAACAATGACAAAAAAAAAAAAAAAAAAAAAAAAAAAGTCAAAGCTTAGTTGGATTTTCCTGGGAAGATGTGTCTCAGATTGGTAAAAGATTACTCTGAGAATTACCTTAGTGTTTTAGTAATCATGCTATTCTTAACTTTCTTAGTACTGAGATCCTAATTTATTTTTCTAAATGTTATAGCAGATGATAAGGAAGATTTGGTATTTTTTTTCCAAAAATGCATTCATACATCATTAGCAAGTTTTCTTTTTAGATTTAATTTGATAAATATGAGTGTTTTGTCTGTATGTATATATGTATACAATGTATATTCTTGCTGCCAATGGAAACTAGAAGAGAATGGTGGATCCTCTAGAACTGGAGTTACAGATAGTTGTGAACTACAGTGTGTATCCTAGGAACAAAGTCCAAGTCCTCTGTAAGAGCAACAAGTACTATTAGTTGAAAAGTTACCTCTTGTGCCATATTTAGGAACTCTTTGTGTTGTGCTTATGAGCATCTACAGTATAGATCAACTCCCTGTGTAAGTTGTAGAAGTGTAAGTTTAGCTTGGTGGTGGTGGTGGTGCACATTTTTAATCCCAGCATTTGTGGGGCAGAGGCAGAGACAGGCGGATCTCAGAGAGTTTTTTTTTTTTTAACAATTTTTAAAAATTTAAATATGAAACAAGCTTGTTTTACATGTCAATCCCAGTTCCATCACCCTCCCATCCTCCTCTTTCCCAATCCTCCCACCAACCCCCATCCCATCCCTTTTCTGCTCCCCAGGAAGGTTGAGTCAGTACCACTGAGCTCTAGAGTAGAATATCGGAGACCTTAGACTTCTTTATAGGCATGAGAGTCACTTTTGCATTCCCCAGTGAACATAGGTGATGCCACTTTGTTCAAACTGACATGCATGTGATGATTTAGGACTCAGTGACATTTGAGGATGTGACTGTGTACTTTACCAAAGAAGAGTGGAACTTACTGGATGGATTTCAGAGAAACCTCTACAGAGATGTGATGCTGGAGAACTATCAGAACCTGGCCACAGTAGGTAAGATTGTCATTATCTTCTGTAGGGTCTTAAGGAAGAACCATGTATTTTTCAAGATTGATGACGTAATTGTGAATATAATGGGAAACAATAGAGACATTGTCATTGCCCTAGCATATTTTAATCTGTTATTGGCAGTTGTCAATAAATGTTTTTAGGATTAGTAAGTGACATTCCTCTCATTCTTGCGCAGGGGCCATGCTAATCTCTGTGTTGTTTCAATTTTAGTATATGTCCTGCTGAAGCGAGCATGACATCTCTCTCATTTCCTTAGAAATATACAACTTTATACTCTGTGTTTGATACACGGAATCAGAAAAATCATCATTTGTGTTCCTGTCACCAGTTTTCACTATTTTTCCACGTGAACGTTTCACTCTAAAGGTAACAACTAGCTGAGCATGATGGTACACACTTATAATTCCAGAATGCAGGAGGTTGAGGCAGGAGGATTGTTACAAACTCAAGGGCAGCTTGAACTATATAACAAGTACAAGGCCAGTCTTGGCTGCAGGAGAAAGTCTCAAGACAATCAAAACAAACAAAAAACCAAACAACTATTGGTATAGTTATTTCCCATGAGATTTAAGATCTTTCTCCATTTCTGTTACATCCAATTTAAAGAAAAATCTCAGTAATATTTACATCTTTTTGTCAAGGCAGGGTATCTCCATGTAGCTATGGATGTTTTGGATCTCACTCTGTAGACCAGGCTAACTCACCCCTGAGTGCTGGTATTAAATGTGTTTGCCACCACTCCTTGGCTTTACTCCATGATTAGGCCCAAATGTAATATCAGGAGTCAAACATATTCCAAATAATGAATATTTGTACTATTTAAAACTAATTCTAAGAGTTGGAGAAGTGGCTAGGTAATTAAGATCATTTGCTATTTTTGTAGAGGATCCATGTTCAGTTCCTAGCAACTCCTAACTATCTGTAACTCCAGTCTTAGAGGGTCTGACACTCTTTTCTGTCCTCCCTGGGCACCTGCACACATCTGGTATACATATGTTCATATAGGCAAATATTCACATACATAAAGTAAAAATAAATCTCTATATAAAAGATTCTAGGGGCTGGGGATATAACAGTATTTTTAGAGTGATTGTCTAACACACACAAAGGGTTCAGTTCCCAGTACTGCATAAAACTAAGCATGGTGTTACATGCCTATGAATCGGTACTTGGGAGATGTTCAAGGCCTGCCTGGGCTACCTGATCCTATCTCAAAAAAGATGATAATTCCCATGTTTCATTAGAAATCTAATTGATCTTTTATATGAAGGTTTGTGATCTCTTTTGTGAGCCTTTGTCACTTTGTCATTGATATATTATTTCCCATGTGTAGAAGTTCAGTGTGTCAAACTCAGCCTGATCTCTTGATTAGAGGAAGTAAATTTGTTGGTTATAGTGGAACAAGGCAGTCTGTCTCCAGGGTGAGATTATTATTTACGGTGCTCAAGAACAGATCACAAGAAAAATGGCAGAACTCACTTTAAGAGTTTTATTAGTAAAGATCAGGGAGAAGGGCCTGTCTGGAAGAAACACAGTGAGAGAGGAAGTGGGTTGGGTGTGTCTACTTTTAAAGGTCACTTAGCACACCATGATACTCATGGATTATGTGGCCATGCACATAGGGCCCTGGAATTACTGCATTATGCTTTGCTGATGGCACATACACAGCCAGCCCCAGTTATGACTGAACATTTTGCCTAAATACTAATAGCCACTTAGATGGCCCTGGGACCCCAGAAATGACAGCAAGCATGGGTTGAATTCCTTTGTTTTCCTTTTTATAAATTTTATTTAAATTAGAAACAATCTTATTTTACATGTCAATCCCAGTTCCCTCTCTCTCCCATCCTCCCATGATCCCTATGGACCCCCTTATCCTATCTCCCATCCACTCTCCAGGGAGGGTGAGGCCTTCCATGAGGGATCATCAAAGTCTGTCAAATCATTTGGGGTAGGGCCTAGGCCCTCCCTGTGTCTCTAGGCTAAGGGAGTGAGTATCATGGGGATTGGGCTCATGGAGTCCTTTCCTGCACTAGGGATACATCCTGGTTTCATTGTCAAAGGTACTGTAGACTTCCCAGGCCTCCTAACTGAGATCCACATTCAGGGGGTCTGAGTCGGTCCAATGCTGGCTTCCCAGCTACCAGTCTGGGGTCCATGAGCTCCCCCTTGTTCAGGTCAGCTATTTCTGTGGGTTTCTCCAGCCTGGTCTTGACCCCTTTGCTCATCACTTCTCCCATTCTGCAACTGGACTCCAGGAGTTTGGCTCAGTGTTTAGCTGTGGGTGTCTGAGTCTGTTTCCATCAGCTACTGGATGAAGGCTCTATGATGGCATATAAGGTAGTTATCATTCTCATTATCAGGGAAGGGCAAGTGGAGGTAGCTTCTCCACTATTGCTTAGGTTGTTAGTTTGTGTCATCCTTGTAGGTCTCTGGACATTTCCTTAGTGCCAGATTTCTCTTTATAATGGCTCCCTCTATTATGCTATCTCTTTTCTTGTTCTCCTCTATTCTTTCCCTGACTCAATCTTTCTGCTCCCTCATGTTCTCCTCTCCCCTCCTCTTCTCTGCTTCTCTTTCTCCTAACTCCCTCTCCCTTCCCTGCCAAGTTCTCAATTTGCTCAGGAGATCTTTTCCCTTTTGCCTTCCGTGAGGAACCATATACGTCTCTCTTACAGTCATCTTTGTTTCCTAGCTTCTGTGGCGGTGTGGATTGTAGGCTGGCGATCCTTTTCTCTATGTCTAAAATCCATATATAAGTGAGTACATACCAACTCAGGATGGTTTCTTCTAGTTCCATCCGTTTGCCTGCAAATTTCAAGATTCCATTTTCTTTTTCCACTGAGTAGTACTCCATTGTGTAAATGTACCACAATGTGGGTTTTCTAGGTTGCTTCCAGGTTCTGGCTATTACAGCTAAAGACGCTATGAACATAGTTGAACAGATGTCTTTGTTGTATGGTTGTGGATCATTTGGGTATATGCCTAAGAGTGTATGTGCTGGGTCCTATGGTAGACTGATTCCCATTTTCCTGAGGAACTGCCATACCGATCTCCAATATGACTGTACAAGTTTGCACTCCCATTAGCAGTGGAGGAGTGTTCCCCTTTCTCTACATCCTCTCCTGCATAAGCTGTCATGGGTATGTTTAGCCTTTCTGACAGGAGTAAGATGGTATCTTAGAGTTGTTTTGATTTGCATTTTCTGATGGCTAAGGATATTGAGTACTTTCTTAAGTGTCTTTCAGACATTTTATATTCCTCTGTTGAAAATCTCTAATTAGTTCTGTACCACTTTTTAATTGGATTATTTGGTGTTTTGTTGACTAGTTTCTTGAGTTCTTTGTATATTTTTGAGATCAGCTCTCTGTCAGATGTAGGGTTGTTGAAGATCTTTTCCCATTCTGTGGGCTGCCATTTTGTCTTGTTAGGTTCAGGAGGTCCTATTTATTGTTGATCTCAGTGTGTGTGCTACTGGTGATATGTTCAAGAAATGTTCTTTTGTGCCAGTTCGTTCAAGGGTACCTCCCACTTTCTTTTCTAAGAGGTTCAGTGTGGCTGGATTTATGTTGAGGACTTTGATCTATTTGGACTTAAGTTTTGTGAATGGTGATAGTTGTGGGTCTATCTGCAATCTTCTACATACCAGCATCCAGTTATGCCAGCAACATTTGTTGAAGATGCTTTCTTTTTTTCTATTGTACAGTTTCAACTTCTTGATCAAAATTATGTGGGTTAACATCAGGGTCTTCAATTTGATTCCATTGGTTTATCTGTCTATTTTTTTCCCAACCAATATCAAGCTGTTTTCAGGACTATAGCTCTATAGTAGAGCTTGAAGTTAGGGATGGTGATGCCTGTAGAAGTTCATTTATTGTACAGGGTTGTTTTGGGTAACCTGGGTGTTTTGTTTTTCCACATAAGGTTGAGTTTTGTTCTTTAAAGGTCTGTGAAGAATTGTGCTGTGATTTTGATGGGGATTGCATTGAATTTGTAGATTCACTTTGGTAAGATTGCCATTTTTACTATGTTTAGCCTACCTATCCAGAAGAATGGGAGATCTTTCCATTTTCTGGTATCTTCTTTAATTTCTTTCTTTTAAGGACTCAAAGTTCTTGTCATACAGGTCTTTCAGCTATTTGGTTAGGAATGTCCCAAGATATTTTATGTTGCTTGTGGCTATTGTAATGGGTGATGTTTCTCTGATTTCTTTCTCAGCCCCTTTATTGTCTATGTATAGTAGGGCTACTACTGATTTTTTTTTTTTATTTAATCTTGTATCCTGCCATTTTGCTGACGGTGTTTATCAGCTGGTAGAGTTTTTTGGATCACTTATGTAAACTGTCATATCATCTGCCAATAGTGAAAGTTTGACTTCTTTCCAGTTTGTATTCTCTTGATCTTTTTTTTTTTTTTTTTTTTTTTTTTTTTTTTTTTTTTTGTCATGTTGTTGTAGCAAGAACTTCAAGTACAATATTGAAGAGATATGGAGAGAGTAGACAACCTTGCCTTGTTGCTGATTTTAAAGGAAGCACTTTGAGTTTCTCTTCATTTAGTTTGATGTTGGCTGTTGGTTTGCTGTGTATTGCTTTTATTATGCTTATGTATGTTCCTGTTATCCCTGATCTCTCCAAGACCCTTATTATGAAGGGGTGTTAGATTTTGTCGACGTTGTTTTCAGTATCTAGTGAGATGATCATGTGAATTTTCTTTTTCAGTTAGTTTATGTGATGGATTTTATTGATGAAGTTTTATACATTGAACCATCTCTAGGATGAAACCTACTTGGTCATGGTAAATGATTTTTCTGATGTGTTCTTGAATTTGATTTGCCAATATTTTATTGAGTATTTTCTTCCATCGATGAGGGATATTGGTCTGTAGTTCTCTTTCTTAGTTGTGTCTTTTTGTGGTTTAGGTACCAAGGTAATTGTAGCCTCATAAAAAGAGTTTGGCAATGATCCTTCTGCTTCTATTGTGTAAAACACTTTGAGGAGTATTGAGGAGTATTCTTTGAATTTCTGGCCCTGGTTTTTTTTTTTTTTTTTTTTTTTTTGCTTGGGATCCTTTTGGTGACTGCTTCTATTTTGTTAGGGGTTAAAAGTTTATATAAATTCCTTATCTGTTTTTGATTTAATGTTGGTAGCTGATATCTAGCCAGAAAATTGTCCATTTTCTTTAAATTTTCTTATTTTATGGAGTAGAGGTTTTCAAAGATGATCTGATGATCCTTTGGATTTCCTCAGTGTCCATTGTTATGTTCCATTTTTCATTTCTGATTTTGTAGATTTGCATGTTCTTTCTTTGCCTTTTTGTTAGGTTGGATAAAGGTTTGTCTATCTTGTTGATTTTCTCATAGAACCAACACTTTGTTTTTCATTGATTTTTTTTTTTTATTGCTTTCTTTGATTTCAGCCCTAAATTTGATTATTTCCTGGCATCTACTCCTCCTAGGTGAGTTTGCATCTTTTTGTTCTAGATTTTTCAGGTGTGCTGTTAATTCTCTAGTGTGACTAGTCTCAAGTTTCTTCATGTGGGCACTCAGTGTTATGATCTTTCATCTTTCAGAGTGTCCCATAGGTTTGGCTATGTTGTCCCTTCATTTTCATGGAATTCTAGGAAGTCTTTGGTTTCTTTCTTCATTCTTCCTTTACCCAAGAGTGATGTAGTTGAGCACTGCTCAATTTCCATGAGTTTGTAGGGTTTCTGCAATTTGTGTTGTTGCTGAATTCTAATTTTAAGCCATGGTGGTCCTATAAGATACATAGGGGTTATTCCAATATTTTTGTATCTTTTGTGGATTGCTTTATTGCCGAGCATGTGGTTGATTTTAGAGAGGGTTCCATTGGCACTGAGAAGAATGTATATTCTTTTGTGTTTGGATGGAATGTTCTATAGATGTCTGTTAAAACTAATTGGGTCATAACTTCTGTTAGTTCTTTCATTTCTTTGTTAAGTTTCTGTCTATTAGTCCTTTTCAGTGGTGAGAGTGGGGTGTTGAAGTGTCCCACTATATAAGCGTCTGGGGTTTAATGTATGATTTGAGTTTTAGTAATGTTTCTTTTATAAATGGTGTGCCTTTTTATTTGGGGCAAAGATGTTCAGAATTGAGACTTTATCTTGATGGATTTTTCTTGTGATAAATATGAAATGACCTCCATCTTTTTTGATTAATTTTAGTTTGAAGTCTTATTTGTTAGGTATTAGGATAGCTACACTAGCTTTCTTCTTAGGGCCATTTGATTGGAACATCTTTTCCCAACCCTTTTCTCTGAGGGTCTGTCTTTGATGTTGAGATGTGGTTTTATTTATTTATTTATTTATTTATTTATTTATTTATTTATTCATTTATTTATTTATTTTTGCAACAGGAGGATGGATTCTGTCTTCTTATCCATTCTGTTAGCCTGTGTCTTTAACTCACGTTAAGACCATTGATATTGAGGGATATTAATGACCATTGATTGTTGATTCTTGTTTGTTTTGGATTTGCTTTTGGTGGTGGTATTGTGTGTGAATTCCCCCCCCCCCTTTTCTGGCTTTTGGTAAAGAGGAATTATTTATTGCCTATGTTTTTGTGAGTGTAATTAACTTCCTTGAGTTGGAGTTTTCCTTGTAATACTGGGTTAGTTGTATAAATCTAGTTTTGTCATGGAATATCCTGTTTTCTCCATCTATAGTGATTGAAAGATTTGCTGGATATGGTAGTTTGGGCTGGTGTCCATGGTCTCTCAGTGTTTGTAGAACATCTATCTAGGACCTTCTGGCTTTCAGAATTTCCGTTGACAAGTCATGTGTAATTCTGATAGGTCTGCCTTTATATGTTACTTGGCCTTTTTCCTTTGCTGCTCTTAATATTATTTCTTTTTTCTTTTCTTTTTTTTTTCTTTTGGATGTTTGGTGTTTTGATTCTTATGTGGCAAAGGTATTTTTTTTCCCCCCAGTCTATTTGGTGAGCTTCTTGTACTTTCATAGGCATGTCCTTCTTCAATTTGGCAATGTTTTCTTCTATTGAATATGTTTTCTGCACCTTTGAGCTGGGCATTTTCTCCTTTTCTACCTTTTCACTGTGTCCTATATTTCCTGGATATTTTGTGTTAAGGATTTGTTGGACTTAAGATTTTCTTTTGTCAATGGACTTATTTCCTCTAGTTTATCTTCAGCATCTGAGATTCTCTCTTCCATCTCTTGTATTCTGTTGGTTATTTTTTGCATCTGTAGTTCCTTATCATTTACCCAGATTGTATATTTCCAGCATTTTCTCAGTTTGTGCTTCTTTATTGTCTCTATTTCAGTTTTCAGGTGTTGAACTTTTTGAATTGTTTCCTTCATCTGTTTGATTGTTTTTTCTTTGCTTTCCTTAAGATTTGTTGATTTCTTGCATTTTTTGCTTTATCTTTTCCTCTGTTTAATCCATTTTTTTGTTTGTTTTTCCTTCCATTTCTTTAAGGGATTTTCTCATTTTCTCTTTGAGGGCCTCTATCATTTTCACAAATTCCTTCCAAGGTTGTTCTCTTCTGCTTCATCTGCATTCAGGTCTTGCTGGTGTAGAATCCCTAGACTTTGGTTTTTTCATATAAGTCTTACTGTTGTTGAATGTGTTCTTATACTGTTGTCTTACCATCTATTCTCCCATTGGGTACAGGTGGCTTCTTTCCCTCTCCTGATGGGTATGGGTTCAAAACTCTCTTCTCTCCTCTCTCCTGAAGGGTGCAGGAGCAAGACAGGAATGGTGACCAATGCTGGACACTTTGTTATGTCTCCAGATCCCTCTGTGGGATTCAGTGGCATGAAGGGTCTGGAGGCCTCTTGTCATGGGACTCAAGGAGGGAACAGTGGGCTGAAAAAGCCCCTGACACTCTCTACCACAGGGTGCAGGGGCAAGACAAGAATGGCAGTTGATACTGAATACTTTGTTCTGCCTCCAGGTCCCTCTCAAAATAATTTGTTTTTGAGGTATGAAGAAGTTTTGTTTTGGAATTTTTTTCCTTTATTTATCTTCATGGATATTTTGCCTACATACCTACCTTTGTACCATGTGTGTACACATGGGCCTGTGGAGCCCTGGGCCTGGAGTTATAGACAGTTTTGAGTTGCCATGTGTGGTGTGAATCGAACCTAGGTTATGTGTTCTTAACTGCTAATACGTCTCTCTAGCCACAGGAAAGTTTTTTCATATATGAAATATATTTTATTTTGAGCAAATCCATTTGAGAATGCCAGTGATGAAAAAAAAACTTTTTGAAAAACCAACTTGAGAGTTGATGAGATGGCTCAACAGATAAGGAAACTGGCCACTAGACCTGAGTACCTGAGTTTGATCCCCTGAACCCATATGGTGCAAGCCTGTATTCATGTATGCACACACACAAATACATACAAAATAAGTAAATAAATGTAAAAGCAAAAAGGCCAACTTGAATCTGAACACTGAAGTCTTTGGTATACAGGTTTTGAGATATTTTCAGCATCTCATTATTTGTTTTATTCACACTTTCTTTAAAATTAAAAAAGAATCAAACATTTTATTTTACACGTATGGGTATTTTGCCTATATGTCAGTCTGTATGCCATTTATGTGCTTGATACCTACAAAAGTCAAAAGAGGGTATCATATTTCTGGAACTGAACTTATAGATAGTTGTGAGTTATTGTGTGGATTCTGGGAATTGAAACTTAGTCTTCTGAAAAAGTGGCAAGTCCTTCTTACCACTGACCCATTTCTCCGACCCCATATCCAGGCTTACAATTTCAACAATGATCTTTTCTTTTCAATTTTGAGTTATGATTCTATTTTTTTTTTTGCAATTGTATACTGGCTATTTTCCTCAAAGTATATTATTTTTGTTTACCATCACATGTAGTTTTACACACAAAAATAATTGTTTTGGGGCCATTGAGATGGCTTAGTAGGTAGAGGTGCTTTCTTCTAAGCCTGTTGATTTGCATTTGTCTCTAAAACTTACTTGGTAGAAGGAGAGAATCATCTATATTAATTTTTCCTAATCTCCAACCTTATGCCATGCCGTCCATGCACGTGCGTGCATCCGTGGGTACACACATTCATACCCCACATACAATAAATAAATAATAAATGTAAAAAAAAGTGTTAACTTTATTTTGACCCCAATTTTTTTTTTTTTTTTTTATTTTTTGAGACAAGGTTTCTCTGTGTAGCTTTGGAGCTGGCCTTGAACTCATAGATCCACCCGCCTCTGCTCCCAAGTGCTGGAACTGAAGGTGTGTGCCACTACTATCCGGCTTGATCCCAGATCGTTATGACTGCCAAATTACTGTTATATAATTGAATTTAATTATATAATCATCCTGTTTAATTCTATCATCGCTTTATTTGCTTAGCATGTTTAATATCAGAATACTTAACATCTCATTTTGTTGTATAAATGTGTATTTTTTAATGTTTTATTTTAGAAGTGAAAATGGACCTTGAGACAGAACTTCAGTTGGATAGTTTTTGGTCAGATATATCAAATGAGACACAACTGGAAAGATTAACAAAGGTATCTGTTTGTTTCCAAAGTCAGAGAATATTTGGAATATTGTGGTATATCTATGCTTGAATAAAATATGTCTGAGAGAAATAGCCTTTGCCCACAGGAACCTGTTTTCTAGCATGAAACTTTGTGCTTTAGAGTTGTCCCAAGAATGTCCTGTATAAGTCTGAAAAAATTTTCAGTACTCATTCATCTCTTTATCAACAGGCAGGAAGCCACAATGAAGTGGAACTCTGTGAATCTAAGAAAGTTGGAAAATTCTTCAGTGAACACCCATGCCTTCAGACACATATGAATATTCATAATACAGAAAAGATTTCTGAACATAATTGGTATAGAAAAGACTTACTTCCTTCAGTCAAGAAAACCTCTACTGGAAAGAAACTTTCTGTGTTGATTCAATGTGAAGAAGCCTTTGCTCTGATTCAAAGCATTCCTTACCAGAGGACATGCATTCAGGACAGTTCTTTTGAATGCAGTGATTTTGGGAAAGCTTTTGATAATCAGTTGCAACTTAAGGCACACAGCAAAGATCACAGTAAAGAAAATTTCTATGAATGGGAGAAAAGTGAGAAAGGTTTTACTGAATCCACAAATTGTTCTGCTTTAGAGAAATGCTATGAAGGTACAGAATGTGGAAAAGCAGTCACTGCTCAAGCAGGCCTTATTCCACATGTACGGAGTCATAAAAAGCAGAAGTCTTATGAGTGTACAGAGTGCGGGAAAGTGTTTGGTAAATGCTCAGGCCTTATTGAGCATATGAGAAGTCACACAGGAGAGAAACCTTTTAAATGTAACCAATGTGAGAAGGCTTTTGCTTCTTCATCCTATCTTACTGCACATTTGAGAACTCATACCGGAGAAAAGCCCTTTGAGTGTACAGTATGTGGTAAAGCATTTACACGTTCCTCATACCTTCGGATTCACATGCGAACTCACACTGGAGAGAGACCCTATAACTGTAAGGAGTGTGGGAAAACCTTTGCTGTGCGCTCATGCCTTAATGCACATTCACGAACTCATACTGGGGAGAAGCCTTATGATTGTAAGGAATGTGAGAAGGCATTTACTAGCTTTTATCAACTAACTGAACATATGAAAATTCACACTGGTGAGAAACCCTTTGAATGTCAGGTGTGTACAAAATCATTTAGGAATTCCTCATGCCTTAAGAAGCACTTCCAGATTCACACTGGAATAAAACCATTTCAGTGTAAGGACTGTGGGAAAGCCTTCAGTGGACGGACTAGCTTTACCACACATGTATTGACTCACACTGGGGAGAAGCCATATAAGTGTAAGGAATGTGGGAAAGCCTTCCGAACATCCTCAGGCCTTATTGAACACATAAGAAGTCACACGGGAGAGAAACCCTTTGAATGCTATCAATGTGGAAAGGCCTTTGCATCTTCCTCATATCTAACTGCACATTTGAGAACTCACACTGGAGAGAAGCCATTTGAGTGTACAGTGTGTGGTAAAGCATTTACACGTTCTTCTTACCTTTGCAGACACATGAAAACTCACACTGGAAACTCTATATATGTAAGGATTGTGGGAACGCCTTCAGTGGGTGCTCATGCCTTAACAGATACATAAAAACACACAATGGGGAGAAGCCCTACCTATATTAGCAATGTCATCAGCTTTTCTTAACTCAACATATGAAAACTCATACTCGTAGGAAGCCTTTTGAAGATAAGACATGTACAAAATCTTTTATAAATTTGCATGCCTTAAGATGCACTTCTGAATTCACACTGGATTAAAATCATCAAAGTAAGGACTGTGGAAAAGTCAGCCTTTGGTGACCACACTGGCTTCACTGTACATGTACCAACTCACATTGGGGAAAAGTCATATGAATGCAGAGGATGTCAGAATGACTTCACTCCTTCCTCACATCTTTAATATCAAAGATGTCACACAGGAGGGAACCCCTTGACTGACCAGTGCACACTTGAGAACTCACACGAGAGAAGCCCTTGAATGTACAGGGTGTGGCAAAGAATTTAGGCATTTTACAACTTTTGTAGTCACATGAATGTGTGAGAACTGCCCAATGTATGTAAGAACTGTGGGAAAGCCTTTACTGAGTACTTAACCCTTAGTAAACACTTAAGAACACATATTGCAGAGAAACCCTATGATTATTAGGAATTGAGAAAACTTCCACTGTTCATACTTTAGTGAATATAAACTGTAAATGGAAAGAATATGAGAAATACTTCACTTATTCTGATTATATGGAACATAAATAATCACAGAGTGAAACTCATGTGAAGAATGAGAAAAGTCCATTAAGACATATTTACATTTTTGAGCTCAGCACAGGTAGTCAGTTGTCCTAGAAATGGCTTAAGAGATTCACCCACATCAGTACATTAAAACCATCTGTAACTCTAGCTCTAGGGAGAGTTGATGGTTCTGGACTCTGTGGACACTTGCACTTGCAAGTGCCTCACACACAGACATACACATAATTAAAAATAAATCTTAAAATTTGTAAGGATCTTACACTCAAGATGTTCTATGAATGTAATGAACTTGGAAAAGTAATTGGAGTCTATTCACAATCTGTCAAGAAGGAGACCATACGGTGCAACATAGAAACTTTCTTATTTTCTCAGAGTTTGCTAAGTATGTGAACAATTGCAATAGAGCAAAACACTATTGATATATGATATGTGTAGCAGTTATATGCCTGCTAAATAATTTAATGTTCACTTGTGATCTCATAGTAAAGAATAACTTAAAGAAATACTAGACCTAAAAAAATTTTATTCCACTACCTTTGTTAAATGTGATTCATATTGAAGACAAATTACATGTATGGATTATGGCAATTGATGTACATGTGATGTTTTGAATACTTCAGTGTATGTGTATTAATGATTTGTGTTGTGTTAGCTTTTGGGGGGACAATCAGAATAACAGCTATTTACACTATGCAGGGCAGTGATAACAGATCATAGAAATTATCCATCCAAATAGAGCTTTGTGAGTCATTGAACTTAATGTGGGTTACTTATAGGAACAAGTGTTAGGGGTTTCTGGTGGTTTGAATATGAATGGTCCATAGGTGGTGTATTTGAATGCTTAGTCACAAGGGAGTGGCCTTATCTAAGAAGAATTAAAAGGTGTGGTCTTGTTGGAGGGGGTAGGCTTTGAGATTTCAAAAGCCTGTGTCAGACTCACTTTGCTTGTGGATCGGAATATAAAACTCTCAGCTACTTCTCCAACACCATGTCTGTTTGCATACTGCCATGTTTCCTGCCAAATGATAATGGACTAACCTCTGAAACTATGAGCCAGTCCCCAACTAAATGCTTTTATAAGAGTAGTCTTGGTTGTGATCTTTCTTCACAGCAATAGAATAGTAATTTAGGATTACTTTCTTGAGTGTAATTCAAAGGCAGTTGTGCCACTTGAAAAGTCAACCCTGGGATTGGTGATGATTCATAATAGCTGCATTCTTTTTTTAGTCTTTAAAAAATTTATTTTTCATTTTATACTCCTCCCCCAGTTCCCCTCCCTCCCTTGCTCCCACCTTTGCCTCCCACCTTTCCAAAGCCCCATCTACTCCTCAGAAGGGCTAAGTCCTTCCATGGGGAGACAACAAAGTCTGGCATACCAAGTGGAGGCAGGACAAGGCCCTCCCTCTGTATCAAAGCTGAGCAGGGTATCCCACCATGGAGAGTAGGCTCCAAAAATCCACTTCATGCCCCTGGGATATGTCCTGATGCCACTGCCAGCCCCCTCCCAACAGGTTAAGTCTCATAACTGTCACCCACATTTAGAAGGTGTAGTTCAGTCCTGTGCAGGTTCCTCAGCTGTCAGTCCAAAGTCTGTGAGTTCCCTCTAGCTTGGGTCAGCTGTCTGGTTTTCCCTATCATGGTTTTCAACTCCCTCGTTGATATGATCCCCCTTCCCTCCCTTCAACTGAACTCCAGGAGCTCAGCCCAGTGCTTGGCTGTGGATCACTGTTTCTATCAGTTACTGGATATAGGTTCTATGATTACAATTAGGGTAGTCACTAATCTGATTAAAGGGGAAGGCCCATTCAGACACCCTCTCTGAGGAGTCTTAGCAGGGGTCATCCTTGTGGATTCCTGAGAATTTGTCTAGCACTAGGTTTCTTCCTAATCCTGTAATGGCTCAGGATAACTCTAGCCTCATAAAAAGAGTTTGGCAATGTTCCTCCTGTTTCTATTATGTGGAAGAATTTGAGGAGTATTGGTATTAGTTCTTCTTTGAACATCTGGTAGAATTCTGCACTGAAACCATCTGGGCCTGGGCTCTTTTTGGTTGGGAGACTTTTGATGACTGTTTCTATTTCCTTAGGGGATATAGTTCTATTAGTGCTTCTTTGAACATCTGGTAGAATTCTGCACTGAAACCATCTGGCCCTGATAACTGTTTCTATTTCCTTAGGAGTTATAGGTATATTTAAGTTGTTTATCTGTTCTTGACTTAATTTTGGTAAGTGATTCTCATCTAGAAAATTATTCATTTCCTTAAAGTTTTTCAATTTTATAGAGTACAGATTTTTGAAGCATGACCTGACAATTCCTCAGTGTCTGTTGTTATGTCCCTCTTTTTTGTTCCAGATTTTGTTAATTTGGACATTTTCTCTGTATTTTGGTTAGTTTGTCTATTTTTTTTTTTAATATCTTGAAGAACCAACTCTTTTTTTTTTTTTTTTTAAAGATTTATTTATTGTGTTTACAATGCTCTGCTTACATGTCTGCTTCAACACCAGAAGAGGGCACCAGACCCAATTACAGATGGCTGTGAGCCACCATGTGGTTGCTGGGAATTGAACTCAGGACCTTTGGAAGAGTAACCAGTGCTCTTAACCTCTGAGCCATCTCTCCAGCCCCAAGAACCAACTCTTTGTCTCATTATTTGTATTGTTTTGTTTCAATTTTATTGATTTCAGTCCTCAATTTGATTATTTCTTACCATCTACTCCTTCTGGGCAAGTTTGCTTCTTTTTGTTCTAGCACTTCCAGTTTTTCTGTTAATTCACTCATGTGGGATTTTTCCAGCTCCTTTATGGAGGCATTTAGTGCCATGAACTTTCTTCTTAGCTCTGCTTTCATTGTGTTCCATAAGTTTGGGTATTCTTTTTTTTTTTTTTTTTTTTTTTTTTTTTTTTTGATGTCATTGTACTCATGAAGGAGAGAGATGTGGTCCTCCAGTTTACCCACATGGTAGCCTGTTTTTTTGTTTTTTTGTTTTTTTTTTTCTAACTAGGAAATAGCATCTCCTTTTTTCTTCTTTAGTTTCTGAATGTCAGAGTTCAAAGATTCCTCACTGATCTCATCATTCTCTTCCAACTTGGGAGATGAACTCAGTGATCAGAAGGATTCATAGCAACTTTGTTCAAATCCTAACTCAATCCTCATGTGTCCTGTGGTCCGATGTACCCAGAGACCGGTCATCTTGTGCACACAAGGTTCCAGGGTTGGGGTTACATGGATGATTCAGGTAACCAGAAATCAGCAATCTAGTCTGTGTCTTTTTATAGGTAAGTTGAGAACCTGTGGGTTACTGTAGCCTGGTCTTGACCCCTTTTTCTTATCACTCCTCCCTTTCTGCAACTGGATTCTAGGAGTTCGGCTCAGTGTTTAGCTGTGGGTGTCTGCTTCTATTTCCATCAGCATATAAAGTAGCCTTTCCACTGTTGCTCAGATTGTTAGTTGGGGTCATCCTTGTAGGTCTCTGAACTTTAGAGTCAGTTTTCCAGTTTTCTCTTCAAACCTACAGTGACTTCCTCTATTATGGTATCTCTCTCTCTCTTTTTTGCTCTTGTCTATTCATCCCCTGACTCAATCTTCTTGGTCCTACATGTTCTCTCCTCCCCTTCTCTTTCTCCTAACCCTCTCTCTCCTGCTAATTTGCTAAAGGTGTTCATCACCTGTAGGAATTCCCTGGTAGAGTTTTTCGGGTCACTATGTAAACTGTCTTATCATCTTCAAATAGTCACAGTTTGACTTCTTCCTTTCCAGTTTGGATCCCCTTGAACTCCTTTTGTTATCTTATTGCTCTAGCTAGAACTTCAAGTACAATATTGAAGAGATATGGAGAGAGTGGACAGCCCTGTCTTGTTCCTGATTTTAGAGGAACCTCCTTCAGCTTCTCTCCATTTAGTTTTATGTTGTCTGTTTACTGTATATCCTTGTTCTCTCCAAGACCTTTATCATGAAAGGGTGTTTAATTTTGTCAAAGGCTTTTTCAGCATCTAATGAGATGATCATGTGGTTTTTCTTTTTCAGTTTGTTTATATGGTGGATCACGTTGATAGATTTTCATATGTTAAACCATCCCTGCATCACTGGGATGAAGCCTATTTTGTCATGGTGGATGATTTCTCTGATATGTTCTTGGATTCGATTTGCCAGTATTTTATTGAATATTTTTGTATCAATGTTTATGAGGGATATTGGTCTATAGTTCTCTTACTTAGTTGTGTCTTTTTGTGGCTTGAGTACCAAGGTAATGTCATAAAAAGAGTTTGGTAATGACCCTTCTGTTTCTATTGTGTGGAATAATTTGAGGAGGATTGGTATTAGCCCTTCTTTGACTTTCTGGTAGAATTCTGTACTGAAATCATCTGGTCCTGGTCTTCTTTTGGTTGTGAGGCTTTTATGACTGCTTCAATTTCATTAGGGATTATAGGTTTATTTACATTGATTATCTGTTCTTGATTTAATTTTGTTAAGTGATAGCTATCCAGAAATTTGTCCATTTCCTTTGAATTTTCAAATTTTGTAGAGTATAGGTTTTCAAAGTATGACCTGAAAATTGCTTGGATTTCCTCAGTGTCTATTGTTATGTACACTTTTTCATTTCAAGCAGAGGCTATAGCAGGACCAATGATGTGGGGTAGGCAGGCTCAGGATGGTCTCAATACTCAGGCAGAAAGCAGGCTCAAGATTTTCCCTTGTGGATAAGTGGATCCAGTATGCACAGAGCTGATCCAGGATGTTCCAAGGAGATGGAGGAGTTTTGGACCCATGCTCTGGTCAAGCAGTGGGCCCAGCAGGGCCAAGGATGAGGCAAAGGCAGGCTTTGGGTGGTGTATGGACTGGAGTACCAGGACTGAACCACTCAGGTCAAGATTATAGAGGGGAGCAAGATGCGGAGATACCTCAGGGAATTCCCAGGGAAGGATGTGGGGGGACTTGGCCTGTCCTGGTTGCAGACTCACCTCTAGCAGAGGGCAGGCAGTGGGGCCCAAAGATGAGGTGAGTGCAGGCTCAAGGTGATCCCGTGTGAATAGGTGAGTCCAGTATGCTCAGAGCCAACCAAGGAAGTTCCAAGGAGATGGAGGGGGTGTTGGACCCATGCTCTGGCCAAACACCCTAAGCAGTGGGCCCAGCAGGGCCAATGGGATACTGCCTCTCTTAACTCTACTTCTCTTCCTTTTCTGAATTCTACTAATATCTCCCTGTATTATAAACATCTTATGTAGACATCTTCAACAACATATTCAGTTGTTACTACAGGGTTATTAGTCCCCTAACTATGGAATCAGATGCCTATGATACCTAATTACACCTTAACAGTGAAGATCAAGCTTGCTCCAAGGAATTCACCATCCCCATATGGCAGGAAGGAGACTAATAAAACACTGCCTTATTTCCCGACTCCTGATTAGTTGTTAATAGTTTACAAAATTGGAAGAATGTAGGGTAACAGGCCAGTGGAAAAGCATCCTGCCCAGGCCTGTCTCTGAACCCAGGACTTGGAAATCTCCATCCCCACAACTTAA